CTGCTGGGCTCCGGCGATCCTTCTGCCTCAGCCTTCCAAGTAGCCAGAACTATAGGCGCGCGCTACCACACCCGGCTGATTTTTGATTTATTGTAGAGATGACGTCTCACCAAGTTGCCCAGGCAGGTCTCGAACCCGCGGGCTCAGGCAATCCACTCACAGCCTCCCAAAGGCGCAGGGTTACAGGCTGAACCACCAAACCCGGCTGCATTTTACTTTAAAAACTTTAATTTTCTAAAACTCTTTGATGCTTCTTAGTAACTTACTTTAAAAACAAACATGTACAACTGTACAAAAAAAATTTTATGTCCGTTTTCTATAAGCTTTTTTCTATTTTTAAAATTATTTGTTCTTAAGCTTTATTAAAGACTACTACACAAACACATTAGCCTTGGCCTGCACGAGGTCAGGATCATCAAGACATCATTAGGTGATACAAATTTTTCAGCTCTTACAATCTTACAGGGATCACTCTCATTGACTAAAAAATTGTTATGCAGCACATGGTCATAGTTGTGAACCTAAGATCCATTTCCTGCCTGCCCTTGTTTCAGTTTTTATTTAAACTTGGTTTCATGTATTCTCAGTGAAAAATTTCCAAATCCCATGTTTCTTTTTCTTCAGTAGTTACTTTGCCAAAGAAGCATAAGAAGAAAAAGGATCGGAAGTCATTACCAGAAGAAGATGTAGCTGTGAGTAGGGTTGTGCTGTGACTTTGCTTTGACTAAAAAGAAAGTTTACTTAAATAACAAAGGGAAAAAAAGTGTTTTTAAGGTTCCCAAGGAATGGGCTGGCATTGAGTAGTGGTTGGGTAGAATCAGCAAAGCACTTGAAATGACACAACCCCAGACAGCCTAAGGCGCAGTACACTAAATGATGTTGGCCATGCCAGCTCCCTGATTTTTCTTGTTCTTTCTTATCCTTCCCACAGACTCACCATCTCCCTTTGTCTTTAAAAATTTGGATCCATCTTAGTGGTACTTCACTTACCCTCTGAGCTCCTGGTTCATTTCATTTCTTCTCTCTCTTTCCCTTGGAGGTTCCAGGGAAGAGGCATAGATTGCTTTTTCTATTTAAAAGGCATACACTTCTGTGGTAGTAATGGCATTGTTCAGCATCGGGTGGGAAGTCTAATAGATTGTGTTTCTTTCATATTGAAGGAAATACAACACGCAGAAGAATTTCTTATCAAACCTGAATCCAAAGTTGCTCAGTTGGACACATCTCAGTGGCCCCTGTTGCTAAAGGTATGTGGTTAAGACCATGAATCAGGTGAATGCCTGACTTTTCTGTCATTTCCAAATGGTAGACAGTTGATCAAGAATGCTTACTGCTGACATCCTTGACTTTAGGAAATGCCTGATGATAAAGTGTAAAGCAGTGTTCCTTAAAGTAGCTGAGTTGAAGAGCAAGATTATTTTTAAAAGAATTTCCATTGCACCCAGCACCATTATAGAATACAATGTGTCACAACAATGTGAAATTGCTGCCAACGTTTATAAACAATTAGTTCTCTTTTTTTGTACTTACTTCATCTTGCAAACCTGTACTGGTGTGTGGGCCACACTTGGAGTAGTAGTAGTCTCTCAGCAATTCTTGGCTATTATTTTGAGGTTTAAGTAAGGTAGTTTACTGATGAGTTGAATCATACTGTGTTTTTATAATTTTCATAGATGATTAAATGTGTACCAGCTATGAGGTTAGAAAATGTTAGGGGAGAAAAAGTTACTGAGACATCCTGTGACATAGTGTTAACAAATCGTTATTTATGAGATGGTAAAAGAATGAGATTTGCTTACATAATTCAACAGAGTTGGGTTTCTGTGTGGCCAGATAATCTCTGTCATGTAGACAGCATAGGCTTTTCTATCGTAGGCCCTGGGGCTTATACAGGGTAGCAAAATCCCTGTTGCCGTGGAACTTAAAGTCAGGGGATGTGAGATAGACCATTAAAAAAGACTTGCGCTAGCCGGGCTCAGTGGCTCAGCCCGTAATCCCGCGCCTTTGGGAGGCTGAGGTGAGTGGATTGCCTGAGCCCGCGGGTTCGAGACCCGCCTGGGCAGCGAGACCTCATCTCTACAATAAATCAAAAAATCAGCCGGGCGTGGTAGCGCATGCCTGTAATTCCGGCTACTTGAAAGGCTGAGGCGGAAGGATCGCCGGAGCCCAGCAGGTCGAGGCTGCGGTGGCCGGGAGTGGCCACTGCACTCCAGTCTGAGTGACAGAGTGAGACTCCAACTCAATAAAAAATAAATAAATAAAAATTTAAAAAAAGACTTGCTCTTGGTGGTAAGGATGATGATGAAATGAAACTGGTGATGAAAGATGGGCTGTAGTTAGGGAATCTTTCGGGCTGGTGGTCAAGCCTCAGAAAGAAGCCTACATGTAGAAAGCAGAGTTGGAGGTTTCTGGAGCTATGTGGAAGTATTGCTGTCATCCTCAGTTTGGCTCTTTTGTCCCTGAGAAATTCAAAGCTATTCTATGTTTCATTCATTACCCTGTACAGTAAAGCTGAATCTGTGTTCTGTAGTGCCCCAGGAAGTCTCCTTTTCGAGCATGACTTCAACCTACAGGTGCTCGAATTTGTCTTGTTGTAACTAATGGGTAATTTTTTTGGTGTTTAAGGAGGCTCAGCAGTCTGTCATAGCAGGTAATGGAAGTATAGGAGCAAAAATCCAAATGTATAAACTTGAAAGGGTACTATACCATGGTCTCTAGTGTTGCTGACTCTGTTTGACTTGTGTTAATGGCTTTAGTCTCATTTGTGTTGTTGTTGCTTTCTAGAACTTTGATAGACTGAATGTGAGGACAACACATTATACACCTCTTCCTTGTGGGTCCAACCCTCTGAAGAGAGAGATTGGGGATTATATCAGGTAAGTGTATTAGGAGCAAGTACTGTTCATACTCCTTTTCTCGTAGAAATGATGCTTTCACATGAGCTGTTCACCAAGGTAGTGGCATGTTGCAGTAGCTTCACCCTGAGAATATAACCTGTACGCATGGTGAATTCTTCTTCTTCTTAACTCTTCAGATTTGTTGTTTTATTAGAGCGCAAGAGCAGGTGATACATTGTCTTTTTGTCCATTCTAGGACAGGTTTCATTAATCTTGACAAGCCTTCTAACCCCTCTTCCCATGAGGTGGTAGCTTGGATTCGACGAATACTCAGAGTGGAGAAGACAGGACACAGCGGCACTCTGGATCCCAAGGTGACTGGCTGTCTAATCGTGTGCATAGAACGAGCCACTCGCTTGGTGAAGTCACAGCAGAGCGCAGGTATGTGCAAGACAGAGGGCAGGGCTGGCCACTCGGCGATTAGAAGGTTTTCTGTATTTCCCATCTACATTTTGCTTCTTGGAAACTATTTTTTCATTAGGAAAACAAAATCCTGAAGCAGAGATATTCTTTTGGGGTCTGTGTGCCTTCTGTCCTCTGCCACGTCCTGGTGGGTCTACCCTTCCTGGAGTTCCAGATACTAGGCATGCGCACACTGAGCCAACTCAATCCATCCCAGCACTGAGGCAGAACTCGCCCCAAGTTCAGCTCTCGGCTCGTCACTCCAGGCTTCTCTTATTCTGTGCTGCTCTTTCTGCCTAAAGGATCTTTCCCTCATGTCTTCCCCCATCCCCCATTTTCATCTGAGAAAGCTCTCCTCCTTATCTGTCAAGGTGTTTTCCAGACAGGCTCTTCACTGGGAACTCCCAGTGAGAAAAGGTGTCCTCATTGCTTTCCCATGTCATCACCATGAAATCTGTCTTAATGCAGATTTTGCAGAAACGTGAGGTTGAACTGCCTGCTTTTCCTGCTGTGCAGAATGGGAGTGACTAGGCATGGAAGAAAGACAGAAAGCTCAGTGGCCACACCTGACTACTCTTTTGTCATTTTTCAGGCAAAGAGTATGTGGGGATTGTCCGGCTGCACAATGCTATTGAAGGGGGGACCCAGCTTTCTAGGGTAAGTCTGCGATTGTAGGGAGGATACCCTTGGATGGCTCGAGTCTCTGAGTCCTAAACTCTGCACAGGGTCAGCTTTCCTGGCGAACATCTCTTGTGCCCTTCTCAGTGGGCTTCGGATGGCAGCGCCGTGTCCTTTTTACTGAAAATGTTTGGTTTGGTTTATGCTTGTTCTTAGGCCCTGGAAACTCTGACGGGTGCCCTATTCCAGCGACCTCCACTTATTGCTGCAGTAAAGAGGCAGCTCCGAGTGAGGACCATCTACGAGAGCAAAATGATCGAATATGATCCTGAAAGAAGATTAGGTGGGTCATTAGGCCTAGGAGGAACTGGAGTGACATAGACTACAAGTGGGTCCAACCACATTCTTGAGGAATCTGTTTGGTTAAGAGTGGACAGACGTTCTCGAAGTTGAAGGCGTTCTGAAACCTGCCGTGGAGCTGTGATATTGTTTGTGGACAATATCTTTTGTTGTCTCTTGTTTAAAAAGTAAAGAGTGCCTAGTGAAGTTAGGTGGCTTTTAACACCTTTTCTGATGCCTTCTTTTGGTAAAGTTGCATGCTTCTTTTCATTCTGCATTTGTGAAGTTTGGCGCTTTGTTCAAAGGGCACAAAATGTGCTTCAGAAAAATGTTTTGCATGTATTTATTTACAGCCAAAATTTATGTTCTGCAACTCTGCTTGCTAGTAATAGAACTAATCTTTCAGGATAGCAGATGCATGTATTTAAAAAAAAAAGTTGTTGCCCTTAGCATGTCGTGCAGTCATGGCCTGTGTCTGACATCTCTAATCTTGATGGCTCAGAGGGAGGATAACTCTGTGTTTGTCAACCAGTGATATGTTGGAAAATAGGTGCTACATTTCTTTGTCTGTCTTAGGAATCTTTTGGGTGAGCTGTGAGGCTGGCACCTACATTCGGACACTGTGTGTGCACCTTGGTTTGTTACTGGGAGTTGGTGGTCAGATGCAGGAACTTCGAAGGGTTCGTTCTGGAGTCATGAGTGAAAAGGTAAGCCATTATAGGACTGGAAATTTTTGAGCTGGCTCTTAATGTCCTCCAGCCCTTGCTGGAACTCTACTTGCTTCTTGTCCTCCTGGCAAAGGCACTTTCCAAAGTGTTGAGTTCAGTCCAGGGCAGCTTTCCCTGTTCTGTTAATTAAACTTTGGGACATTGAAATGGGCTAGGAGACATGAGTGGATAGAAAATAATATTCTATTCATTTGCCTCCCAGCCTACAAAAATACCTGCTTAGATCTAATACAGCAATAGTTGACATGTCCAAAAGAGACATGACACTGAAGAGGCTGAAGACTTTCGGTGAGCTTGAACTCACAGTCAAGTTACATTCAGTTTTAGGAATTTGGGATCTGATGGACTGTTTTTTAGGACCACATGGTGACGATGCATGACGTGCTCGATGCCCAGTGGCTGTACGATAACCACAAGGATGAGAGTTACCTGCGGCGAGTTGTGTACCCTTTGGAAAAGCTGTTGACGTCTCACAAACGGCTGGTTATGAAAGACAGTGCAGTAAGTTCTGGGATAGTAGTCCACATTCGGACAGAATGTAACTCCAAAGATGAGGCTTGGTCCTTTAGTTTCCTTGGGGTTTACTTTGTTTCTTTTTGGCTTTTCATAGGTTGTGTGCTGGATTCCTTTGTTATTGAAAGCATTTATGACTAAACATAAGTCAAAACCAAGTATGCTAATGTAAAGTAAAAGTTTTTAAAACAAGCAGAAGAAAGGATCTCAGAACTTGAAGAGAGAAAAGAAAACAATAAATAAAAATAACGTAAAAGTTTTAATGGTAGGCTTACTTCCATTTCAAAATAAGGCAAATTAATTATACATTGACAGGTGTTCTCCCAAAATAAGTACCTTGGTTCAAGTAACAGATTATCAAATAAATATATAATATAAATTATCAATTTGCCCTCCTGTAATTCTGCTTGTGCCTAAGAAATCTTGATTTATTTAAATTATTTTCAGGAAAAGTTGTGTTGATAGAAAAATATTGGGACTGGAGAGTTTCAGAGCTATAATAGCAGTTATTTGTCCCATAGGAATTTCAATAAAGTTTCGTTCTCTTCAAATTTGTAGTTCTAGCCGGGCTTGGTGGCTCAGCCTGTAATCCCGTGCCTTTGGGAGGCTGAGGTGAGTGGATTGCCTGAGTCTGCGGGTTCGAGACCCGCCTGGGCAGCGAGACTTCATCTCTACAATAAATCAAAAAA